GGGGGGGGGCGGACAGCCGGTGCCGGGGAAGGGAAAAGACGTACATGGCACCCTCGACCAGGGCGCGGTTGATGGTGCCGTAGCGCCGGCAGTGGAGGATGACGAAGGTCTGGTCGCTGGCGTCGACCGAGTTGAAGGCCCCGGAGCCGCACTGCTGGTCGTGCGAGCCCTCGGTGTTGGAGGCCTTGACCGCCTCGCCTCGGCTGCGGCTGCTGGAGAAGATGGACCCACGCATGGTTGAAGGAGACAGGTGGGAGAGAGAGAGAGAGAGAGAGAGAGAGGAAGAGGGGGGAGGGGGGAGACAGATAGGTATAGGGGGAGGGAGAGAAGGGAGAGATTGCCTTTCCCCGATGCTGGGAGGAGGCACGAGGAGCAGGCTGGGGGCAGATCGGTCACTGACCGGGCCAGGCCGGGCCAGCAAAGACGGGCCCACGTCCCGAACGGGAGGCCGGGGGAGGGGGGGGGCGGATCAACATCCTGCCTGTCGGCCGGGCGTCTCCTCCTCCTCCGGGCCGGCGCCGGCCGGCGGGTTTCAGTTTTGCCCCAACGCACTGGTGGAGCCCCCCATTACCGGAGGCGAGAGGAGAGAGGCCTCCAACGTGGGGGGGGGGGAGGGGGGGGGGCGCGCTCACGTATGAAGGAGGGCGGGGGCACTTTCCGAATTGGGCGCGTGTGGGGGGGGGGGGGGGGCCGGCCGGGGGCGGGGGGGAGGGAGGGGCGGGGGCCACCCCGGGCGGAGGGGGCGCCCCCCGGGGCCCCACCCCCCCGCCGCCCCCCCCCCCCCCTCTGCGAGTTCTCGGCCAGCCGGGCCGCCTGGGGCTGGCCGCGCGAAAGCGCCCAGACCGCCGCAGGACGTGAGGGCCTCACCGGGGGCAATCGGGCGAGGATGGTCCCCCCGCCCTCGTCCGGCCCCCCGGCCGTGCCCGGAGGAGCGCACGGCCCGGCGAGGGGGGGCTAATTGGGACATGCCGGTGGATGCCACTTTTGGGGGGAGGAACGGGGCGGGGAGCCACTGGGGCTTGGGTAATATTGTCCGGACCCCTCGCCGAGCACCCTCGGGGGGGGGAGGGGGGGCACGGGTGAATCGCGCTCCAACGGCCGCCGGGGCGCCGCGGCCCCTTCCACGGCCGCCGCCTCAAGGCCGCGAATTTCGCCCTAAAGTATTGCGACACACATATGCACACAGTCGTGGAGACCTCTTCGCCCCGCCCCCCCCCCCCCC